TTTTTAAAGCTGCAGGTGTATCTGTAGAAATAAATTTCCTATCTTTAGAAAATAAAACATCTAAAGGTTGCCCAAATGTGTTAAGCTAGTTTCTGATGTAGATTTAGTTTTCTTTGAGATTACATTCAGATAATGATTATAAATACCTACTAAAAGGGCTGTCAACCAAATTTTCTTATAGTAATGAAGTTAGAAGAAAAATAAAAAGTATAAAGGAAAGGGACAATTAGAATGGAAACACCCAGAGGCTTTCTGAAAGAATGAGTGGGCTCAGATATGTTGCAGCTCTCAAAGCAGACCACATATCAACAGGAAAGGCCCAGGAAGAGCCCACAGAGGCAGAAAGCTGTGATAAACTGTCATTTTCCTTATCCCCTTTGATAAGGCAGTCAAAATGTCCTCTTTCCACCTCTAATCAGGCAGCAGTGAGATTACTGGGAAGGCAAACAAAGTCTGATGGGCAGAAATAAACTGCACAAAACCAAGCATCCAGGTAGCTGCCTGCCCCACCAACTAGTGACAGCCCCAGTACCACTCCTTCCTAGGCCTTCACACCTGCAGCAAACAGTTTAGATTAGGGCACTGTGGGGTGCAGAACCAACTGAACAGCCAGGGTGGGAGCCCTGGAGAGAGGCAGGAAACGGAAACAGACCTGATGAGAGAAGGGCAGTAAGGTAGCAAGAGCTTCTGAGGGAATGCCTACAAGACTGGCTCAGAAAAGGGGCCTTTCTCGGAACACAAACAGAACTCAAAACCACTACCAGCTTGCTTCTCAAAGACACTAGTGTGGGAACTAAACTAATTAATTACTGATAGTTATTTCTGAATAATCCTCCTAAAAAATCAGAGTTCTCAGAGCAGAAGAGATGGCCAGTTCCAGGTCAACGTCTCTGAATTTTCACGGACTGCATTCCTCCGAGGACTAGGTAATGAGATTAAGACAGATGGGGACAGAACTTCCATTCCCATAGGGCCAAGTTGGGTTGAGTGCAGGGGTAATGGGGGATAAGACCGGTGGAACTCCAATGGGCACAATCGGGGAGATCTGCCACTTGGCCATAGGGTTTTTCTGTCCACCCCAACAAGACTCATTCCAAACTGAATTTAAACCCCTGGGGCAGAATGCAGTCAGGAAACCCAGACCATTAGCCCGGTGTCAGAGAAAGGACTCTGGTCTCCTTGGTTAATTACTCACAGTGCACAGACTCCTTGTCTGCTGTCTCCAGGCGTCCCATGTGAGACTGAATCTCGTGGACCTGCCTATCAAAGGAAGAGGGAGGAAATGAGTGAGACAGGAATAATCACCAGCACTTCAGTCAGGAAGGAGAACTTTTTCTAGGGCCAACATACAACTGATTTAAATTGACAGTGCTGCTGAACTGTAAGACTTACATATGGTGTTTAGGACATTATTTTGGCATCATTTCTAATATCCTAATGGTAATAATAATAATAACACTGATAGCATTTAGTGAATGCTTACTGTATTTGAGACACTGCTAAGTCAATAACCCTGTAAGGAAAAGTACTATCATCATTTTATAAATAAAATGACCGAAACCCGGAACGCTTATGTAACTTACTCAAGGTCACACGGCCAGTGATAAACCTCGACCAGGGTCCAACCAATCCCACTCTCTGTTCTATGACCCAATGTGCTGAGCACTGGTCTGTATTAGCAAGAGTCAAAGGGCAAGTGAGATATAATCCTTGCCCTTGAGAAACAATGTAATTAGGAATTGACAGGCTAGACAGACATGAAAAAACCCTGAGAAGATTTACAAGAAAACCTACACACAAAGCAGAAACAAACAGAAAGCTGAAAAGCTGTGTACAGTGGGGCAGAGGACATGGAAAGGCCGAGGCTAAGGAACTGTAAACTGGAGTCTTATGGATGGAGTGAGTTGTATTCATTCAGCTGTTTTTGAGACAAGATAGCATTATGTAGCTGAGGCTGGCCTCAAACGTTAACGATGGTCCTACCTTGGCATTCAGAGTGCTGGGGTTATAGTCATGCATGTCACCATACAAGGCTTGGATAGAGGAGGTCTAAGTATTACTTTGAAGAAGGTGGATTGGGGTTTAGTGAAGAAAGGGAGGAAGAAAATGATACACAGAAGGCATGCAAGGCATTTCAGGTGGATTAAAGCAGGCTGGACCGCTTGAAGGAGAGTCAGAGAGAAAGCAGTGGGGGACGCTTAGTGGAAGGCCCGAAAGACAGAAATCTCCTGTTTCGTAAACATCTCTGGCTGGCAATAGGAGGGAAACTGCCATCCCATTTGGAAACACAACACGTCCCAGACGTCAGGCCCAGAGCACTCTATGGAAGCTTTCCAGGACTTGGCCAAGGTCACCCTCTGAATCCTTCCTAATCACCTCCTAGCACCTGTGGGCCCCTGGAATGTTGCTTATGTTAGCCCCGACAGCCTCCTGTGCCTCCACAGGTCTTTCACCTACAGCCTTGTACAGGGGTCTTATCTCCAGTTCTTGAAAAGCTCAACAAGCCTCCACTGTGAGCACTACATATCAAAACCTCAGATTTAACAGGGCCAGCAAGGAGCCCCACTCTGGTTTCAGTGTCTCTAGTCTTTTCCAGGGCTTCCCAGTGGCTTCTAAATAGGACCCAAGGCACCAGAAGAAGCCAGGCCAGCTGTCTAAGGATTTCCTGAATGCTCCTAGGCAAAACTTGTGACCCTGAGAAACAGCCAGAAATCACTACTAGAGTCTGAGACTGGTCAGCTGCTCCAGGGAGGGGAGTGCAGGGTATTTTGGAAAGGGAGGGTGTGGAGGTCCAGAGGCTGATGCAGGAACGCAGATCAAGGTAACTACCACGTGGAATATCTCAGGGTAACAACAACAGAGGACTGATGGGCAGAAAAATTAGGACTCCTAGTAGTAGGAGCAGGATGTAGGCAGTGAGGTAACATTTGCATTGGTGACTTAATAAATCAGAAAGCTGCTGCCATTATTGGCAAGAAGGGAAACAAACAAACAAAAACATGGTAGAGGGGCAAAATACCAGCCAAGACAACACTGAAGAAATATGTGGAAGGATCACTTCTCCTGCCTGTAATTAAGGCTTACTACAATCTGGGCATGATAATGCAGGCCTGTAAGCCTAGCTACTTGAAGGGCTAGTAGTTGGGAGGGGGGTGAATCAGGAGGATTCAAAGTTCAAGGCCAGCCTGGGCTACACAGTGAGTTCAAGGCCAACCTGGGCAACTTAGTGAAACCCTGGCTCAAAATAAAAAGTGAAAAGAAACTGGGGCTACAGTGCTGTAATAGAGCCCTTCAGTGACAGGGCCCTTCAGTGATAGAGCCCTTTAGTGACAGAGCCCTTCAGTGACAGAGCCCTTTAGCGACAGAGCCCTTTAGTGACAGAGCCCTTCAGTGATAGAGCCCTTCAGATAGAGCCCTTTAGTGACAGAGCCCTTCAG